AATGATACTTGCCACAGTGTCGACAAGCCCTGCCGCGTCTTGTTGCTGGAGCTTGAGTAGGAGCTATAGTCACAGAGCTAGGTCTCTTGTTCTACTGAGTCGATGCAGTAGGTGCTGACCTGTGATGTGAAACCGGTGATATGAAATTTTTCACTATTAGAGAAAAAATGCAAAGGTTCATCTCTATTAGTTGTGCCTTGACCAAAACTGCTGAGTAGGTGTTGAGGTCGAATACATACAACTGTTGTCTGATCTCATGACGGAGGCCACACTCAAACTTCATTGCCTTTCTGCCTTCATCCATCATACTTTCAAGAGAATACCGGCCCAACTCTAAGAATTTCTAGGCATACTCAGACATTGTCATCTCACCCTGGACCAAGTGTGCAAACTCTATTTCCTTCAAATACCGAAGATGCTCTGGTAGATACTATGCATTGAAGGATATCAGAAACTATTTTCAGGTGACTGAAATGAGTAGGGTGGTCTATTTCAGGATCCACCAGTGATCTGCCTCACCCATGAATATGTAGGTGGTAAGTACAATCTTATGTTCGAGAATCACCCCAAGAGTTGCGAAGACCTTCTTTGTCTCGGCTAACTAATACTCAGCCTCTTCAAATGAGGATACCCTTGTAAAGATAGATGGGTTTAATCTCTTATACCTCTCAATGTAGCCTGCATCTACCATGGGTGGAACTAGATCTCCTTGAAGAGGTAGATTATACTAAGGAGGGTTTGGGTGGCCCTATGACGGCACCTGGTTATATAATGTGGGCACTAAATTGTATTGTAGTGGTGCTAGATGATATGGTGGAGGAGCAGGGCTGTATCGGGGTGGCACTAGATCTACTTGTTACAGGGGTGGCTCATAATGTGACAGTGGTGAAGGGTCAGATAGCTCCCTCCTCTCTTCCCGGGCCTGCTGAGAGAAGATAAGTCTCTTCAGCATCTCAAAGAATCAATCGACATCCTCTCGAAGCGACCCATCCCGGGCTGCTCGATTTAGTGGGGGTCTTCCTCTCCTCATATTCTTGTACCTGCATTTCATAAGAAATGGTTGAGTGTCGAGTTATATTTAGTGATTTAAATTTTTGTGCAAGGAATGGATCTGAGGAACGCGACTCTGATACCAACTGTAAAGGCCCATGACATAAGGAAATGAAAATATCGAATTATA